AGAGCCAAAACGTTTATCTAAAAACAAATCGAAAGTTCCTAATCAAATTTTAATTGCTTCTTGGGGGCGAATTAGTAGTCAATCAGTGGTAGTCGCAGATAGCAGCAGCAGTTATTAAAGAGTAATTAGCAGTACCTACTGTGGATATTACACACCCCAGGGTTAAGATGTAATATTAATTTTCTTGCAATCGACATTCCAGGGATACTCCGCGCTCCGGGTTTCATTTGCGGCTGAAATTGATGTCGGGAAACGGATTGGTTTCCCAGAAGCTCTACTTAATAATGAAAGGTTAAGGGGAGCAATTAACGACCAGAAGCTTATGTTACCCCCACATACATATACAATCTAACTGTGCTTGAGTGTTGTTGGCGGCCAGCATGTTACGAAGTATCTTATTTTGAGGCACTGGCCGCAAATGGTATATCATATACAGTAAAATCAAACCATTGATTACGTACCCTATCTGTATGTAACTTGTGAGTGAGTGTTTTATAGATGGTGCTGGCCTAGCCAACAATATAAGCATGTACGAGCTACAAACATCATACGTGAGACATTGAACCTTTCAAAATAGATTTCTAATTATCGCGGAGAGAAGATAAATCAGTAACAAATTTTTATTCATGACGCCATTATATCACTTTTCATCTTGGATAACTTTTTGGCCATCCACAGGTAGAATACGTTAATCAATGATTAAACTGAGTACAAGCTCCCGGCATATACAGAGCAAACTTTTTTCATATCTTCATAAAATTCTATGCTCTTTTATATGCATAGGTTCTATTCAATTCTGAGATTTCCGTCGGATTTGAGCTTCTTATCCTGCTTTCAAGATTCTAGTGGACCTCAAAGAAAAAAGACCAACTCTCCTGGTATTAACTGCACCTCAATTTCATTTTAGATTCAATTCGCCCATTCTCATATACATATCCCTCAAAGCAAGATTATCTTGGAATGGTAGCATTGCTGCTTTTTCCTCGCAATTAGGATGGTAAGCCGTCCGGCAAACAGTGCGTGTTTCACTTGTTTCCACACAGATAGGCCTCCTGTGATCCTTCCAGGACGGACATAGACGCGTTCCCGACATGGACCGCTTAAGTACCTGGATCTTGCGTTAATTAAAATTTGCCTCTTGTTTGTTTTTTCGCTTTGACCGACCGACGGACAGACAGACGTGCTGGACGGTCTTTGAAGGTGGACAAAGAATTAGGTATATTGAAAATCCAGGCTGCTGCTTTGTGGGTTTCGTTTTACTTTCTGCAGTAGAAAAGCCATCATAATGAAAAATAGCTTCTGGTGATGTCATTTGGTATTCAGTTTCTGACTACTTTGTTCCTTATACCGTGTACAAGTTGCGAAAACGGCTATGATTTAGCGCTAAATGTCAGGAAATATTTGCCTTAACTGGACACTTAATTCATTGTTATTAATAATATTCTATAATGACTAGTCAAAGTATCTGGGAAATGCTGGAGGGTCCGACCTTGTTCTATCTTTAAAAACCTTACCATGCGCAGTATCATTTATCGTCAGTGGGGAAGGTGCCAAAATATTGTTTATATGAACTCCTGTGACAAGATTATATGTTTCGATCTAACGAGCTCTTTTCTAGGTTGAGCACTGGCGTTGATGACATTAAGAAAAATTCAAATAATTCCCAATTTTTTCAATGACTGGAGCAAACCAGCTTCCATTGATATTATTCCTGTAAGATCTTTTTGACCCTACAATTTGACATCTGTCTGAGATAGTCCGTAGTATCTGCTCGATGACAATGATGACAGGTAACGGGAGTGACGTCATCACAAATCATAACTGGCCTTGCCTATATCGTAGCTTATCTTGACTACTAGGCGCTTAGGTAGTTTCAGAGCACTATAGTTCTTTGCATAGTTTCTATGTCTATTTACATTGTATAAACATGACCTCTGTAAACCTATTTTCCTGGAAAAATTTAAACCGACAGCTTAAAAGATCATTTTTTTCAAATAGTTTTAGGTATTTCATTGTGTTCTTCTCGTACGCCTTGCGCCTCTAAGGACGCCAATGGCCAATAGTCGCCAAGATAAGAACAGACAAGACAAGAAGCTCTACGTGGAAAATTCAGGGCAGAATTTAATACTGGAATAAGGCCCCAGGTGGTGGCGTTTGAAAACTCGATTTGCAAAGGCAGGCAGCGGGCACGACGAAAGCCAACCCGAAAAGATCATAAAGAAAAATAACGAGGAATTATGACGGGTAGATTTTCGACTGTGCTGTGTGATACACATCCATTTAAGATGGGTATTTTATTAGATATTTAGATAAGTCTGCAGCTGAGAACCTGACGTGCCCAAATTGAAAATGATTGCGTGACGACGGCGACGGGTACGTGATGGCAGAGGAGGTTGTAGGGAGGAGTAAATATAATTCACATGGATCTGCCAGGATGAGTTTCATTGAAGCCCAAATGCTTTCATGCTTCGTTGGGTTGGCTTTTTTAGTTCATCGGAACTGTGCTCGATAAGTGTTGCTTGGTGTCATCGTTCACAAGATTTGCTTATTTTCAACTCCACACGCCAATAGGCGTTTTTGTTTCTGACCAGTATCATAGTATTACACACATTAAAAAAAAATTAGCTATAGTACGATATAGGGCTATCACGTTTTGACGAAGCAAGTCTCATTGTTATACAAAGTCTTGTGTCTTAAACCACTGGTTGTCTCAAAAGTGTGAAAGATTAACTTATACACAATTTACAATTAGACATTGGAAATTGTATAAAGGTGTGAAAAGGCTGCAATCGACAAAGTACTTGTAAACACGCCTCAATATTATTCCATCCTGTTTCATGTTACAATTCCCGCGACCACCCAACCACAAAGTGTACCTAGAGCTCACAGGCATTAGAGATAGTAGATGGTTTTTTACTTGGAGTCTTTAAAACGAATAGCAATATTCAAATCGACAGAACCAGTGGTTAAAAATCAACCGGGTAAGTTCTGGCATCAAAACTATCGAGTTCGGGTTCTTGAATCAAGGCCTTCAGAATCGACACCGATTATTATTTAACGATATAATAATAGTCGGTGCCTACTTCAGCGCACATTTACAACGACACCGACGGTATGTATTGAAACTATGGGAATCGGGATCGGAAGGAATGGTGAACAAATCGAAGGAACGGCTTCCAAGACTGGAATCGGAACAACGGAGACGATTTGGCCCAGCTCTAGTAAGGGGTAGCCCGTAATGACACTTTTGATATGGGATTCCGATGCGAGTATAATAAAATAGTCAGGACAAATTCTTGATTGGAATTCTTGTTGGGTTGTCAGGATAGTAAACTCAAAAATGGAAACGTATAACGTCAATGTGTGCTTATATTATATGACCTCATCTTCTGGCCAGAACGTTCTAAAAACCTTGAGAAACTTGTAGGTACGGTCCTGTCTCCATACGAAGTAATCTTCATCGTACACATGATATACACTCTTTGTCTGAGCTTTTATTAGCTCGTTGTATTAGATCAGTAATGTATGGAATTGTATTTCTTGAAATGTTTTAGGGTAGTAGGGGTTAAAACATACTACACAACGACGGGGAATTCCATTGTGGAATTCCCTAAGCTTTTGTCGGAATCTTATGCCAGTTATGGATTTAACCTTCCCCTAATCAAAGTCTGTGGATATGAGCAGCGGAAAGTATGAATATTTGAAACGAGGGGAGGGGTTATGGGAGAAAAGGGGATTATATACGCTTGCTCGTATATGGGGGCGATTTATTTCAGTACGGTTTCAGATAGAAGACAGACAAAAGTGTCTACAAACTATCTGATCTTTGCTCGACCTGAATTTTGATATAAAACAAAGAAGTTGTCGTGTATTAGCTGGACAATTATTCATATTGCTGTACTGCTGTAAGAGCTTTCATTAAAGCGTATCCTACCTAAAGATAGCCAACTATCTACTTAAATTTGGCGAGACAAAAACGTGATCTGGAAGATCCTAGCGTCCTCTATAAGAGAGTAGCAGAACACAAAAATATTTTAGGAATCTACCTTGAACAGATCTAGTGTTTATGGCTGCACTGTTTCGTAGATGACGCTAGGATTTTCAATTCCCTTTCGGCGCCTCTCTAATGCCGATTTTAATTATGTATCTTAAGATGAAGTGCGTGAATCAATGCCCGAAGATGCCCAATCAAAATATATATTAGAAAGGTGTCTAAAATATTAGCAGAAGCAAACACTAACTCTTTTTGAAGTAGATTTCTAGATTCATGTTTATGTTATGCTATTGCCTCATAGGTAATGCTCCTATAAGTTTTATAAGGTCGAGTTCGAGGTCATTTTTCTCTACAAAGTTATCCATTTGGAAGGTCAGCTCAAGGGTATTAGATGCAATAATTCGGAACAAGCCAAGTAATTCGGTGCAACTATGTGTCATTTATATGTTTTTGGGGTAACAAAGTCCGAATCAGAGGGTTTTTGTTGTTTCTATGGAGTCTTTTGATGATTATATCAATATGCTCCAATGCACCATGAATAAACTTATACAAATTTGATGAGAAATAGTGCACAATGTAGAAAAAATGGCGCTCTTGTGACTCTTGTAGCACTTTATCTTTGTGCTTCGTTCCTGTTCTGATTAAAGGAATATTTATCCAACCTCCACCTGCAAAGTTATGTAACCACCAAGTCAGGATTTATTTTACAACCGTCTGCAAACTTCTCATGCTGTTAACGCTAGCTGAAGATGAGGTAGCGCGAGAGCGGCCTTTCTGCCCCGAACTGAACGTCTTACAGCCAAATATTAAGAGGGACAGTTTAATTCCCGAATGGCGGGAATTAGCCTAGGAATAGCGTCTAATTTCGAGCAAGACGAGCCAGGCCGGCGAGTTGCAGTCAGTAATTGGATTTGGAAGTGTGCTAGGATGTTTTAACGGGCTAATAAATAGATTCTTATCGCGCTGTTGGATTCATCGGACCCTTTTCAATTTCAGGGACCTTAATATGTCCTTATGTTTGCCGGATATGCGGGAGTACAATGGAAGGTAAGGTTTGCTCAGGTCGGCTCCATGCATATTTATGCGAGCCGTTGGATTTAACTACCGCAAAGCCTTGAGAATAACAGAAATTACAAGGAGGTGGGAGGGATATCTGCTAGAATTTACGAAGATGTAGTTGGTAACCAAGAGACCAATGGAGAAGGAGATAGCTAATAAATAATAAACTGTTCAGATTTTGTAGTTGTTTAGCCTTTATCTTACAATGAGCAACACAAGGTGTTTTGAAAGGTGGTAGTATCCAACGCTATTATCAGTTCGGCACAAGATAGGCCCACAAAAAAGCTTGCTAAGGACAGGTAAAACACAAACAGTTCGTGGATCTGATAAGTAATATCAAGTACCGTCCAGTTACATGTTGCTGATAGATACTGCTTGAAGTTTTCGCTATTCCATTCAAAAACACAGGTTTGCTAACAACATCAGGGCCCGCCTAAGTCTTCTACTGCGCATCGATTTTCTGTGTCCCCAGCCTTTTGTACAGGATGAATAAATCCACGCCTGTGGGATGAAAACGTCCAGGAATATTCTCTCAATACACTCGCTGTATCTTGTGCCATTTTCGGCTCTTCGGAATTCGATTTATAACTAAACAGTGTAGTCGAAGTATTGAAAATATCATTCTACCATTCGTAGACAGAACTTCCAAGGTCACCAATCTCAAACATGTTCAGCAAGAGTAATAACTAATTTAGATTTGATTACATATTATTTATTATAGAACGTATATTAACATATTTCTTCTTTTTCTTTTTGATATCATTACCAGTGAAAAATTTCCCTGTGTATAATTTCTATCCTATTTCATAGTTCATGCAGGACACTACGATTTACGTCATACACTTGACATACGATTCGAATGACTCCGCACTGTTGTTTGAAGTGCCCGACCCCCTCTCAATTTCAAATCTTCCTCACTTTAAAGAGGTGTGTAAATAACACCCGGAGCGGAAATGTAAAACGACACTCGGGTATCTGTCAATGATGGACGGCGGGTGGCTCTGCCTTTGCGAAATTTACATATTTCCACAAAAATCGACCTCTCGAATGTGAGCAAAAAGACAAAGTCAGCACGTCCCTCGAGTGGATTCAGTTTACTTTACAACTTCTCTTGGAGACTGGAAAAGCGTTCAGAATTTGTAATATGGTATTATGGGGAGGGGTGTAGGACGTGAAACTCTGCAGTTAGTAAGAATAGGTCGTTCTTTTGCTAGAAGTTCTTTTGCATTCAGATTTAGTTTCACAAATTATTATCAGAAATGTCACTCTGTATCGTGGCCTATTGGGCTTGTACATTGTCTGGCTAGGGAGCTAGTAGCGTACTTGGAAGAAATTACAACTGATGAACTAGTACAAACGAGTGAGGTATTATAAAAATCGAAAATTAAATTATTTCAATGGAGATTGTCAGATACGAGTATTTACATTTTCAGTGGGTTCACTATTCGTTGCACAGTACAAGATGTTTAGCCCACTCAAATCTTATGATCAGTGGAACATTTTGAACAACATCCAGCACTATAGAGCCCTTCGGTAATTTAAAGTTTTTTTCGAAAGCTAAATGATTTCGATTTTTGATGTGATTTTACGGTATTTGAAGGCTAAACTACTAGTGGATTTGAAAAATGAATATAATTTATGCTAAGAGAAGGAAAAATAGGAAAGTGCTTGAGTGCCTGATAAATATCGTTGGAGTGCGATCTTAATTTTGGCATTTTAATTAACCCCACTTACCAGCCCGTTAAACCATTTTTCATGATACCTCATCACGTTTTTTGAGGTAAACAGCTGCTTAGCAAGCGTAACATTTGTGTCAGATCTGCCCTGTCAAGGCCGTCTGACACAATACGAAATTTTGTGCTAAATTTCGTACAAAATTTTGTGCTAAGCTTCCTACAAAATTAAGGATAGTGTCAGACAGCATAATTTTGTATGAACAAATTTGGCTAACCTCAAACACTTTCATTAGTTGATGTTATCAGTTGCCGCCCCGACTACATTATTTATACTCGATGCTGTCAGACTGATCGAGGACTCTTCTCTAACAGATAGTTTCGAGACCCTTTCGCACTTGCGGGCCGTCGGCGATCTAGCTCTCTTCTACCGCTACACCAACAGGCTTTGCTCCTCAGAGCTCTCCTCCATGATGCCGCCGCGGGATGTGCCTGCCAGACAGACCCTTCTGACCTTGACCTCTCGTTCTAGCCGTATGATTTTCGTACATCCAGAACTGACCGATACCACCGCTCCTTTGTCCCGAGGGTGTCGAGATTGTGGAACAATCTACAAGAGGAAGCTTTTCAGGGTTCTATTAACCTTATACAGTTAAAAAATCGAATTAACAAAATTTCTTTGGGATCCTCATAGCAGGCGCGTTGTCCTGGCATTTAGGCTTCTGCCTCCGCCGCTGCTTCGGTATAAAAAATCGCTCAATTTTCTACTATTTAGCAATCGCAGAGGAAACTGTGGTTAGAGTGACTTTGACGTGATAAATGGCAGTTTGAAGTTGACAGTTACAGCTTTTTTTCTGCCAACTGCGCATGATTTCGTACGAAATTGGTACAAAAACTTCTTTACATGTCAGACAGGATTGTAATTTGTAAACAAATTGGGAACTAAATTCAGTAACGAATTCTCTCACAAAATTTAGCAGAAAATTTCGTATCGTGACACACGGCCTTTAGCAATAACAAATCTGGTGAAAATCAGGACCGCATTCAGAACTATTTACGTCTGAAATTTATTTGCACATACATATTTTCACTGACTGGTGATCTTTACAAGAAACGACACACAGAGAAATGCAATAAATCACATACAAGTGTTCTAAGATGTATGAAACATACACAGCGACAACAAAATACGGCCACAGAACACCATCTCTCTTAAGAAGACTCTGACTACAGACTGTGTGTGTGTGTGCGACAATATGATGTATTTTGTTCTCGTCAGCCATGCCTTAATGAAGCTTCGTGAAAAATAGTGTAGTTGCATTATACCCCATAGAATCACGATACTATCTCCCAAGCGGCCTGTTAATATCAGTGTTGTTACTCTTTTCAATAAAGCTACAAGTAGTCACCCTACGCAAGGACAACTCCTCAACGCCCAAGCAAGCATCCCTTCAAACAGCTAAAAGCATCTGTCCTACATTCTCCAGCATTTCAACTTAATAGACCCATTCGGAACAACTGAGATCTTCATCCAAGATTGTATCTGTCTCCAGCTAATCTAATATTATAATTACATTGTGCGAATGCTCCTTCTTGTTAACGGATTCCACGTTAACTCTTAGTGTTGTGCCCTGTTTTAACGAGGGAGGAGGGAGGTTCCTCCCGACAAGGATCCGGTCGTACAACTCCTCAGGGATACATTGGAATCTCATTTCTACACTCGCAGTTACTCGGGATAATTAGTAAAAGATGCCGGATTATTCTCCGACTTTAAAAGTTATGGCGAGCGCAGGAATATAATGAAGGCGTATTTTGTACCGGAGAAGAAACTTTTCAGCAACAATACTGGAAAGAAGAATTAATGTGGGACATTAGGACATATAGATGTAGCAGTTTTGTATATGAGCCCAGACCTTAATCTTAAATAATCTGTTTCTGATTTTTAATTTATTTTATAGGTCAATACTCTGTGCATCATGTGTTCAATTACCGCAAATTAACGATGTACCTAATCTTTCTATTAAAATGCTTATTTTAGTAGGGCACGTTTTCCAGTCTGGATCAACAATTATGCAACCTCCCTCCTTGGTGATTTAAGCACGATTACTTACTCCATCCAAAGATGAATTTTTCATTGGAGTGTTTCTTCTTATAATTATGCTGGCTTCTGGAGGTAAGCGATTTAGGTGCTCCAGAGTAAAATATTTTTCTGTCTAGGCACTATTTTCATATATCTCAAACGCAATATTCTAATTAATTTTATTCTATACATTTTTGCTCATTAGAGTAGGTGTTTTCTAGCTTCCTACATCATTCTACACAATTTTTGGTAAGCCCACGGCACCTACGGGTATTTATGTTAGGCCTGCTTGGTCACAAATGCCTAAAAAGATATTTTAGCTGTACTGACAGATCGCATGTTTAGTCCGTACCATTAGCATTTACTGGTTATTCGATCAGTGTGAGTGAATTCCCACGTAACTTTATACATCAACAAATACTGGAGGATCACAATGAATACTGGTCACTGGTTGTGTGTTCACCTAATGCGTAAGTATGAATATGCTTCTTGTTCCCATACAACTACCTAAATCTTGATTATATGTAGTTATAACCGATCTAATACATTTTCCGGGAAATATTCATCAAGCACTATAATTCTATGAGTACGGTTTTCCAACACAGATTTTACTGGGTAACATAATAATCGCATTTATGTGTCACCGCTAAAATTTCTAAGATATATTGACAAGGAGCGCGTAGTACGTCTTTGTATCCATGAAAAGGAAAATCCATTTCAATTTAGACGCGTTTCCTTCAAGGGCCGAGAATAAATTCGGGGTCTTTAGGGAATGATTTACAAGTCATCAGGAGTTGTCGCGTTCTCAACAGTTGCTGCAGCGACACGGAAAAAAACTGAAAAGTCATAAGCCGTGGATGACAAATGATTCGAAGGGGGGAGAGACCTGAGTGAGAGAGAGTGGAATTTGAATAAAAAATAACATTCGCAAAGTTAATAATGGCGACGTGAACGGAAATCTGATTTCACGGGGCTGGAGCTTTTTTATTCTAAAAGGTGCACGATTAGTTTTTGACAACGGAGATTCTTAAATTGGGTTTCGGAGTCTTCGAGAATATTGCTCTTTCCGCGTATCCTAATTTACATTCCGCCTTCCGAGGTTTTTAGCACTTGCGTTTGTCACCTTGTTACTGCTGACGAAGAATTTTATTAGGGATAAAATGTTTTACGTTTAACGAAATCGATCGACAGTCTTCTTTTCTGGATGCAAGAATACCTTTTTTTGGTTCCGTTAT